GACACCAACATGTAAAGTCACCACACTTCATCTGTGGAGAAATCAGATCACCGATGCCGGTGTTGCCACTCTATGTCAAGCATTACAGACACCAACATGTAAACTCATCACACTTCATCAGCGTGGAAATCAGATCACCGATGCCGGTGTTGTCAGTCTATGTCAAGCATTACAGATACCAACATGTAAACTCACCACATTTCGTCTGAGTGAAAATCAGATCACCGATGCCGGTGTTGTCAGTCTATGTCAAGCATTACACACACCAACATGTAAACTCACCACACTTCATCTGAGTGAAATTCAGATCACCGATGCCGGTGTTTTCAGTCTATGTCAAGCATTACAGACACCAACATGTAATGTCACCACATTTGATCTGTGGAGAAATCAGATCACCGATGCCGGTGTTGCCAGTCTACGTCAGGCAGAAGAGACAACATTATGTAGAGGCACTCTACCTCATGTGATGGGATTTAGTATTCCCGTCCTCGGAGATCATAGAAATCTGTTGGGAGGAAAATACCGAAAATTTGTCTACGCGTGCCTCTAGAAAACCAAGAAAGAAGATTGAAAATGTTTAAAATGTAGTTATAGTTAGTTTAAAAACAATTTAACAGGAATTTTAATAACCTTTCGATTTACTTTATCAAAAACGTTATATTCATTTAGTATATTCTCTACATCAATATGTAGAGGCATCCCCCAAAAACAGGGAATTTCAGTTGAGTAAGTGTTTTTCAAAAAAAATTAGGAAATTTGGAAATTAAAATGGACTTTCGAAATTCAATCGAACAATGCAGTAAGTTTATAACTGTTTGATCAGGTTTTTCAATCGTGCGTGCACCGTGCAAACTGTCCTGAAGGCACGAAGAACCTAGTAGAGAGTAAAATTGCTTGTGGCGAATTATTTCACTGAACATAGTTTAAAGTGACAGGACAATATACCGTTTATTATGATCTAAATCGATATCTCTTACCAAAGCGATAAGGCTTTCTGCAGTTTACTTTGAAATCGCTAACAATCATAAGAACAGATTCATCTTTCATTTTCAGAATATTGCTGTTTTATAATACTGTTATTTAGATAAAAGTTTGAATTCATGTTGTTTATGGTGCTACGGACATTTTTGGTTCCTGGACCTAATCAGCTTATAATTATATGATTTGTAAAGAATTGTTTCTTTCAAATTTCGTTCGATAGCAACACCTGATTTACATCTTGCCGCCGGCAACCACTCCACCACCGCCGCCTTGCAACTCTTATCTTCCCCGGTTAATCATCGGGGGCCGGGCAAGGAAATGGGTTAATGCATGGCAGCAGTCACTCCGCGTGTATCGCCCTGACAGTAAGACTGTAAACTCCGTTAATCTACCGAACTACCAAAAGACAGATAGGAGGGGGTTTGGAGTATTCATCTGGTCAAAAGCTCAAATTTAGCTGTCTTTTATTAGAAAAACAAGATGGTCACCTAGTTGGAAATAGATAAAATAAGCTAAATTCACTCTCCTTTTAAGAAACGAGTCACCAGTGCACAAAAAGTTAAAAAGGAATCGGAAACTACATGCAAGTTCCTGATTACCAGATTGGATCTCCTACATGCGTTTACCTCCCCCCACCTCCCCTCCCGCCCTTAGCTTAATAGCCACTCGCCTTCCGGTCAGTTTTCAACGAATTCTCTTGAGACTTATATCGCGTTACTAAATTGTATTCGAAAGAAATTACTAAAAAAAATTTGATTAAGAGGACAACGGAAATCCATCAGGTCCATTATCCAGACAATTTTGTTGTCTTGGTGGGGATTTATATGAAGCCGGCAGAAGTTATACACTAGAACATCGAATTGTGTGTTAATGGAAACAAAACTCGTAGAAAATAAGATTGTCAAAAGGTTGGAAAATAAGTTTTAGTGGAGTTAACTACTGGAGCAGTCAGGCCTATAATAGACACTAGCCAACTTTTTGGAGCTGAGTTAAGTTGAAGTCTAGAGAGGCACTATGGAAGTAAAGTCTCTTGCCCAAGAACACACAATACAACACACTGGTCCAGGCCAATGCTCAAACCCAAATGTCAAATCCACAGTCCAATGTGCTTGCTCTTAAGCCACCAAATATTATAGTCATAATTATAGAAAATTAATCTATACTTACGCTCTAATATGACAGGATCAGCCTCTTTGAAAGCTGATGTTGCTCTGACACCTCTTTTGATTGCTTGGGTAACCTCAAGGTTGGTGTCATCATTAAAACTGAAAAGCAAAATGAGGTTTAGCTTTTAAGTACTTGGGTTGATGTATACTGTAACTCAAATTAACAGAAACATTCCAGACATATGTTGTTTAGTAGAAGTTTGGGAGAACCAAAAAAGTTGCTAAACACTGGCCAATGGCTCATGTTCCCACAGCATTTCTCATTCTCCCAACTTAGTCTATGACAGTTCGACTATCATGCACCATTTGACCAGGGCTTTATGAAAACACAAAACAATAGATATCCCTGATCCTCTGAGACGGTCGGGGATAAATCGGGGGCGCTTCTATTTACCTGATGGCTGCAGATCTCTGCAATCATTCCCAACATATGAAAACATAAATTGGCAAAATGTGGGACGGTCGCAAAACAGCGAAATCCCAGAGCTTCAAGGACTTTCCCAAAGTACATGTACAAAAACCAGGCTTAAAGGAGCTACATCACAGACAGCGCATCTCAAAGATTTGGCCAAGTTTTTCAAGTCTGCCATCCTCTTGCCCAATCTTAACCATCCTTGTTCCTTTTTGGTTTATTGTTACCTCTTTGGTGTTTTTCTAACTTGGAAAACTAAATTTTAAAGTAATTTTTGTACATCAGCAAAATGGCTTAAAATATCATGACATAGCTCCTTTAAAACTACCTACTACAATAACTCAACAAGAAATTTCATCCTTTAAAAACAAAATGGCCGTCTATTGTTGTGACAGCTATGTGCATGAAATCAGCAACAAAGTGTTACCAACAAGCTGTTATCAACACCGTGACGTCTCAAAGTTAAAGTAACCAAAATACTCACCTCCATATCTCGTGGAAGGTTTTCACTTTTCCTTTTCTGCCATTGCGGGTGCTGACTGTTGGCCTTGTAAGTTGTCAATTTTTTCTGTAAGAACATGTTTTCGCAGAAGTGCGTCAAACTGCCCTTTGTAGTCAGAACAACTCACTCTAGCGTTTACACGAGACAGTGGCGTGGTGGCTAGAGTTGATCGGCTCCTCGATGAGGAGGAAGATGGCGTTCCGTAGGGCACAATTGAAGGCAAGCGAGTGGAGTCGACTGGCTGATAAATAATTTGGCGAGGTCTCTTCTGAATCACTATTACTGTCAAGCTGCAAATCACGACGGATATGATTTTCAGATCGAGATCTCTCGATGCAAATCTGCGGACGGTCTTGCGTTCGAGGAACGACTGCAGTTGTCCTTGGAGTTGTCTAAATATTCAAAGAGCAAAACGAGTGAATTGCTGACCTGTCTTACTGACCTACGTTTAATTAATACATGTAAAAGCTTATTGTTAGACGGTGAAAGTGCCCAGACGTTAGCGGTGACTCGGGAAGCTTGTCAAAATCAATCTCTGTATTGCTCGATCTGTTTCTGTGAGACATATTACAAAACTGCGGAGGAAATTTTGGTTAGAGACTCGCTTCAACGAAGACGTAACACTTGGACGAACGACGCTTTAAATTTGAAGTGACGCTCGAAATCCCGCCGATTATGTTAATGTCCAAGAATTATAAATTTAAAGGGGACTTACCTGGAAGTTGAAGTTTCATTAGGATTCTATCAGTCATCACAGAGCAGAGATTACACGAGATCACTACGCATGCGCATAACTAGTCATTTTTAAAAAAGGGGTACTATGAGTGGCCACATGAGGATCTATATGCAACAATGACAAAGGTGCACTCCACAGCGCAGGGAGGATTCAGGTACCATGAAGGGTGGGCGTGTAATCTCTGCTCTGTGATGACCGATAGAATCCTAATCAAACTTCAACTTCCAGGTAAGTCTCGTTTAATTTTTGAATTCTATCAGTCATCACCGCAGAGATTCCACGAGACTTTAAAGTCATGTGGTCACTCTGATTATTCACAATTCTACAAGGGAGACATCCCTGAAGAATATCAAGTTTGCTTTAATCGAACACTGAATTTAAGCTGAGTATAACACTAACATAGCATCCAAAACTGATTGCAGAATGTGGAGGTGGGGGTAAGATAAGCATGCATCCCCCATAAAGATAACTAGAGTCCCAACTCTGACTTGTAACAAAGTAACTGTATAACAACAAATGTTAACATTCTACAAGATAGCTCTCCAGTTGAAAATGAGTGAATCGAATCGCTATATGGATTAGAGGACAACAACATAATAATTGGTTCTGACAGTAAAAAATATACAAGTGTTCACACTGCAGACAGAAGAACATGTCAAAAACTATTGTCACTTGACCTTGTTATTGCTTTGTTGTAAAACTTGTTGAACACACAGTCACTCCTCCAGCTAGCAGATTTCATTATTGTTTGTAAGGGGACCTTGTTGAACACTTTGCTGGTAGAAGCTGCTCGTGTGCTATGTGGTGTAAACATTGTAGTGTCTATGCCTGAGAGTGCCATAACTTCTTTAATACATCTGGATATGGTCTCTTTGGACACTTTCTTATATGGCCGTATAACACTGATAAACAACTGATTTTCCCCATCCCGTAGGTCTTGTGTCCTACTCAGGTATTCCTCAAGCGTTGAGGCCACACACAATTTCTCATCTGAGGTGAATCTGGGTATGGTGAGTACAGGCTGTTCCCTACCTGGTGCAGATTGTTTTACGACAACCA